AATAATGTCCATGGCCTCATGGGATTTGGATTGTATACGGTACTTCTGAGAGTCAGTCTAGAGAACAACAGTGCCTGTTACAGGTGCATAGTGATGTTGTGGTTGGCAATTTCCTCAGGAGAATGGGAAATGCGTGGGCAATTCTGCTTTCTGGTGCTACAGACAGGCACTTTACTCCCTGTAAGTCTTAAGTGATTCCTGTGGAAATAGTATGGTTGAAACAACACACCTCTTTTGAATATGAATTATTAGAGAAAGAGAAACAAAGCAATCATAAAATCTGAACTATTTTAGTTGGCATCACAGCTCAGCTCTTGTCTCAGAATTACTCATCTATATAAATTATACTTTGTATTTCTTTCAATCTATAGGAGATATAAGTCTTTTATAAAAAATTCACATTATTCTTAATTCTTTTTCCTTTTTTATATATTTTTATTAACTATAGTGTATTCACTTTGTTTCCCACCTGTAGCTCCCTCTCTCCTCCTTTCCAATCCCACCCTCCCTCCCTCTTCTCAACCCATGTCCTTCCCCCAGTTCATGGTAAGGGAGGTCTTCCTCCCCTTCCTTCTGATCCTAGTCTATCAGTCTATCAGGTCTCATCAGGACTGGCTGCATTATCTTCCTCTGTGGCCTGGTAAGGCTGCTCCCTCCTCAGGGGGAGGTGATCAAAGAGCTTGACACTGAGTTCCTGTCAGAGACAGGCCCTGTTTCCATTACTATGGAACCCACTTGGAGACTGAGCTGCCATGGGCTACATCTGTACAGGGGTTCTAGGTTACCTCCATGCATGTTCCTTGGTTGGATTATCAGTTTCAGAAAAGACCCCTGTGCACAGATTTTTTTGGTTCTTGTGTTTTCCTTGTAGAGCTCCTGTCCTCTCCAGGTCTTACCCACTTCTTTCATAAGATTCCCTACACACTTCCCAAAGGTTGGCTATAAGTCTCAGCATCTGCCTTGATAACCTGCAAGGTAAAGTCTTTCAGAGGCCCTCTGTGGTAGGCTCCTGTCCTGTTCCCTGTTTTCTTCCTCTTCTGATGTCCTTCCTCTTTGCCTTTCTGAATAGGGATTGAGCATCTTAGCCACAGTCCTCCTTCTTGATTAGTTTCTTTAGGTGTACAGATTCTTAATTATGTCCTCACTTGTAGCATAAAATAATGGGCAATTATTTTAATTTGGTTGGTTCTAAAAAATACAGAATTTTCTTAACTGTGTGATGTCTATTTTGAATAAATTGGGCATTTAAGGGACTGCCTCTGACATAATCTGATTGGCCTGCTCTTTGATCACCTCCCCCTGAAGGGAGAACAGCCTTACCAGGCCACAGAAGATGACAATGCAGCCACTTCTGATGTGATCTGATAGACTAAGATCAGAAGGAAGGAGAGGAGGACCTTCCTTATCAGTGGACTTGGGGAGGGGCATGCATGAAGAAGGGGGAGGGAGGGTGAGACCAGGAAGGGAAGAGGGAGGGGCTTATGGGGGGGATACAAAGTGAATAAAGTGTAATTAATCAAATAAAATAAAGACTGTGCCATATGTTGAGTGGCACAAGCGTAATAAGGAGGTACATGTGGACCTTGGTTTCTGTGCAACTACCTCCACTACTGTATCTCTGAGATCTTCCTGCCTATTAAATAGTTAAAAAGCCATCAAGTCTGTCCAACCTGTCATCAACATGACAAAAGAAACATGAGTTTTGGGAAAACAACCACAAGATAAGCCATGGGGAAAGTCTAGGGGGCCTTAATTACACAGAAAGAACTATAGGCCACTAAAGAATTTTTAAAGAAAGAGAAGTAGTCCTCCCCAGAGCAGAATATACTGACTGGTCACTCACTAGCCAATGGTCAGAAATAAAACATAAACACAAACAGTATTACAGATACTAACAAAGTTGTACTTATATAATTAGAAATACACACACACACACACACACACACACACACATATATATACATATATTGTAACAAAAATTAATAAAACAAGGAGCCATGAATTTGAAAAATTGAAAAAAGAATATTTGAGCGGGTTTAGAGGGAGAAAGAAGAAGCAGAAATGATGTAAAGTATTATAACCTCAAAAAATGCAAAAAGTGATTTTATAAACAAAACATAAGAATGTGAAATAGTGTTGTTAAGAGGTTTTTTTCCAAAGCAAGAACATCAATTACTACTAATAAATTAATAAAACTACATCTTATTTTAATGTTGTTCATAATCCCATAACTGTAATATCTACAATGTCCAGTGAAGGAAAGAAAAACAGTCTCCCCCCTGCTGAGGGACTTGACTGGTGATGGTATTCTAGAGTAACTGCTGCTTTAAATTTGGATGTGTTTTTATATCTATATGTATATATTTAATCCAAAAGCAAAGAGCGTTTATTCTGCAGAAGTTTCCAGTCACCAGCTTAGCAAAATGGTGACCCAGAACTGAGCTCCCAGGCTCAACTAAAGACACTTAAGGCATTTTCTAGCGTGGTGAGATAACCATTTTTTGTTCCATTTTTTCTCATTTATTTAATTTATTAAGTTTACATCCTTGTGGCTGCTTTCCTCCTCCCCTCCCAGTCCCATCGTTTCTCCCTCATGTTTTCCTTAGAGAAGGGGAGCTCCCTTTCTTATCCACCCCAGCTCATCAAGTTGCATCAGGACTGAGCATGTCCTCTTCCCCTGTGGCCTGTCAAGGCAGCCTCACCAGGAAAAAGTAATCTAAAAGCTGGCAAGTGAGTCCGTGTCTGATGAGTCCCCACTTCCCTTAGTAGGAAGCTTCCACTTGAAGCCTGAGCTGCCCGTCTGCTACATCTTTGTAGGGGCCTAGAACCAGTGCATGGTCCTTGGTAATGCTTCAATGTCAGCAAGCCCCTCTGGGCCCTGGTCAGCTAGCTATGCTGTTTTTCTTGTGGAGCTCCTGTCATTTCCAGGTCTTATTCTTTTTCCTTCCACTATTCTCCAAGATCCCTATGCATACACCAATGTTTGGCTGTGAGTCTCTGTTTTGAAGTGTTGCTGGGTAGAGCCTCTCAGAGGACAATTATTTTCCTTTTTATTATTATTTTATTTATTACAATTTATTCACCTTTTATCAGAACTGTAGGCCTCTCCCTCACCCCCACCATCTCATCCTTCATCTTTCTTTTCCTCATATTCCCTTCCCCAAGTCCACTGATAAGGGAGGTCCTCCTCCCCTTCCCTCTGACCCTAGTCTATCAGGTCTCATCAGGACTGCCTGCGTTGTCTTTCTCTGTGGCCTGGTAAGGCTGTTCCCCACTCAAGGGGAGGTGATCAAAGAGCCAGCCACTGAGTTCATGTCAGCGACAGTCTCTGCTCCCATTACTAGGGAACCCACTTGGAGACTGAGCAGCCAATGGACTAAATTTGTAAGGGGGTCTATGTCCTCTTCATGCATGGTCCTTGGTTGGAGTATCAGTCTCAGAAAAGACCCCTGTGCCTAGATTTTTTGGGTCTTTTGCTTTCCTTGTGGAGTTCCTGTCCCCTCAAGATCTTCCTATGTCCTTCTTCTTTCATAAGATACCCTGCACTCTGCCCAAGTTTGGTTATGAGTCTCAGCATCTGCTTTGATATTCTGCTGGGTAGAGTCTTTCAGAGGCCCTCTGTGGTAGGCTCCTGTCCTGTTCCCTGTTTTCTCCTTCTTCCAATGTCCATCCCATTTGCCTTTCTGAGTGAGGATTGAGGATCTTATCCAGGGTCCTCCTTCTTGCTTAGCTTCTTTAGGCAAAATATTTCAGTCAAGAAAATGATTCAAAATATAGTACACTTACTGTTCAGCAGGCACAAAAATGAATGAGTGAAAGAAAGAAAGATAGAAAGAGAGAAAGAGTGAGCCAGCCAGTCCCTGGTAAAATGCCTTCCTGCCATCCTGCCATCCTGCCACTTGCATTTGCAGGCTGCCGCAGACAACATACATAGTCTCTACTTTAAGACAATTGGTTCTCCTAATGTTTAAAAACATTGGGTTCTAAACAGTGTGATACTGATTTTCATTTTTCAGAACTGAGAATTCTCTATCTGCATCTCTAGAACCCTGTAATGGAATAGAGTCACTGCTGCATAGGATGTGCTCAATTCAAACTTATTTTTCAAGGGTTATTACTGTAGCTATGTGTAAAAATAAAAGAAACAGGAAAGTTCACATACACACACATAAGCAGGATGTGCGGAGGAATTGGCTCATGAATGAAGCTCAGGGATGTCCATGTGTAATTAAAAAGGTGGAAGGTAGGACAGGGGATGCCCGGAAAAGCAGAGTATGCAGACCAGCCACACTGGTGAGCTCTGGGTTTCCTCGAGAGATCCTGACTCAAAAGGTACAAAGCAATTGAGGAAGAGTCTCTGAAGGCTGCTCTGGAGGCCCGCATACACTCCCACACACGTGTGTCCCACATATATGTGCTAACACACATAGACCCAAGTAAACCACACATTTGCATGTGAGAAGAAAAAGAAACTTAACAGCAAACAAAGTAAGATTTATTTTCTCATCACAAGGCTTAATTGGAACGGGAAGGAAGTCACACTTAAGAGCACACTAGAGGCATCATAGTCTGTGCTAAAGATGCTGTTGCAGGTTTTGGGGCATCGTGGAGAGAGAAGATGCTTCCACACACTCAAACGGGAGAACAATGAAAAATTCCCTTCTAACTTATGTTTCTCAGTTTCTCCACTGTATAATGGGAAACCTGGAAGAGTAATTATAGCAACCCATTTGGTAGTTGACTGAGCAAATAAGGTGCCAAACGATGCTTTAGAGAGTATTTGTGGCAAGGATAAGCACAGATGCTCTTCAGAGAAAGGAATGTGAGTGGAGACTCCTAAGACAGCTTCCAGGAGAGATATGGCTGTCATCGCCGAAGCCTGATTCTGTAGAGCCACACCCTGCCATTGGCCAATCTGTATATTCAGGAGATAGAGGGCAGGGGCCAGGCAGAGCATAAAAGGTGAGGCATGACCAATTTCTCCTCACATTTGCTTCTGACCTAGCTGTGCTGACTCACAAGCTCAGAAACAGACACCATGGTGCACCTGACTGATGCTGAGAAGGGTCTGGTTACTGGCCTGTGGACAAAGGTGAACGCTGATGAAGTTGGCGCTGAAGCCCTGGGCAGGTTGGTATCCACACCACAAGGCAGCTCACAAGTGAAGTTGGGCTTGTGGAGACAGAAGTCTGCTCTCCAGCAGGCACTGACTCTCAGTGTCCTCTGCCTGTGCTTCCCTTGTTAGGCTGCTGGTTGTCTACCCTTGGACCCAGAGGTTCTTTGAGAGCTTTGGAGACCTGTCCACTGCCGCTGCTGTCATGAGTAACGCCAAGGTGAAGGCCCATGGCAAGAAGGTGATTACCTCCTTTAGTGACGGCCTGAAACACCTGGACAACCTGAAGGGCACCTTCGCCAGCCTGAGTGAGCTGCACTGTGACAAGCTGCACGTGGACCCTGAGAACTTCAAGGTGAGTCTGCTGGCCCCTGTGTTTCCTTGCTCTGCCTTGCATGCTCACCCTCCTGTGAGAAGGGAAGGGGAAGGGATTGTAGGGAGCAGTGTAGCTGGATGGTGTCTGGTGGTGCCCTGGGGAGTGTTGCCAAGAGTGCAACCATTTTACCCTCCACTCACACTCCTTGTTTCCTTTCACTCTTTTTTTCTGTGCTTTGATTTCTTCTTTTAGATAATTTTTTTTTAATTTTTAGTTGTTTAATTTTTCATTACTGAAGATCGCTATTTACATTCTTTAAGTAGCTTTTTCTCCCACCTCTCTTCCCAGTCCCTTCTTCTAACCTTCCCTCTCCACATTCACCCCTCTTCCCTTTTGCCTTTAGGCATTTCTTCTTCTATCTACTTTTTGTTTCTGTCAGCTATTTCCTGGTAACTTGCTTGGAGGTCAAGGAAGATAAGCAGTTTTCTTCTTCTTTGCAAGGCTGTAAAGAATAACAGAGTGATAATTGACTTTCAGGCTACAATGCTAGGGAAGCATATATTTTGGATCTAAATTCTGGCTGACATAGAAGTATTTTTATCAGAATTGACCAATAAGTTTCAGGTGTCATTCTGCCTGTTTTTTAAGAATCATAACTGCCATTTGAATAGAGCCTGTAGTGTCTGGTATTGTTGCTCTACCTTCTTGTTGACGCCTCTCATCTTTCCACAGCTCCTGGGCAACGCGATTCTTGTTGTGCTGGCTCGCAACTTGGGCAAGGATTTCACCCCCTGTGCACAGGCTGCCTTCCAGAAGGTGGTGGCTGGAGTGGCCACTGCCCTGGCGCATAAGTACCACTAATGTCCCTTTCCTTCTGCTGATGCACAAAGGTCACTTGTCTCTGAGATAACAACTGCCAGTTGTTGGCAATATGATAAAGGCCTCAGAGCATCTGTCTTCTGACTAATAAAAGGCATTTCTGTTCCTTGAAATGGTGTGTTAAGTTATTTGTATGTTTTATAGAAGGTGTGTTATTGTAAGGATTCAAGATACAAAGAAGGGAGGGTTTACTTCAGACCTTGGGAGAATGAATGGATACCTTGTGCTTCATGATGTGTGCCGAGACAGCAGGCAGTAAGCCACAGCTACCTGCGCATGCTTCATTCAGAGTGACGGTTTCATTTGCACATTAAATTTTGGCTATGTTTTATGTAAATTACTTCTTTTCTCTAGTCATTGGCATAAATGTCTCTTGTTTTTTCTCTTGCCTACACTGTACCTCACTGACCTCTATTCAGAAATTTTTCTTACCTAAAGTTCCCACTTCTTCCTAAGGATTTCCCTCCATATTTTCCTGGCCACATTATTTATCCTTTCCTGATTTTCCTTACCTTAGACAGCTCCACTTTGCTATAGAGGAATGTTTGAAGACAGAATGGAAGTGCTGTGGTTGTCACTTGAGATGTTCCCTGATCTCCACAGTCAATGCTCACCCTTGGTTTTCAAATGGTGCTTTCCGTGGAACCTTTATACATCACACCATGCTCTTCGGAGTTTGGAGTTATGATTGAGAGAAATAAAAGGCTAGAGAGAATAAGGAAATCCAGTTTTTATGGTGCATACCTGGTCTTATGAATTTCCCTTTACAACCTGTAAATGGAAGTCCCATTCTTTCTCAGTTAGTCTATCTTCAATACCCAGAAATGAGTTGGGATCAAATCTGTCTTTCATATTGTCTGATAGCTTTTTTTTTTTAATGCAGTTACTAGAGTTAACACCATAGGTATCAGACCCTTGCTTTGTTTTACTCTCCATAAATACCCAGGCTCTGGTAATCCTGAGAACAAAATACGAGTGTCAATTTTTCCTCACACTCCTCCAAAATATGAGTTTCAATTGTTCCTTACATTCCTCTCTAGTATAGTTTAGTAAGAGTTTGAAATAACTTCATATAATAAGTGACCTTTAATTACATAACCATCTGTATAGGTCTTATTGGATTATAGAGTAATATACTCCAAATCTTATAAGAGTAAGCCATTGTCATCAGGCATAAAAAATGAAATTCCATAACTTAAAACATTTTCTTAAATTCTAAACAAATTGAGCCTAACTGTGAAACTATTACTATCTAGTTTTCAACCCCATCAGAGACTGAAGATGGACTAAAATTATTACTTAAGTAGGAAAACTGTTTTTAAATTGATAAATACAAGATACGATAGAGAATGACTTAGGTACAAAACTTTGGACTCACTCACCTAGATAGCATAGATGGTATTTGATTCAAGGTTTCTCAATGCAAATGAGCTAAACATTATGAATGTAGCTTTTACATATGGCTGTCCTGAATTTTTCCTAACTTTTCTTTCTGTATGTAGTTTATTATAACTAACTAACTAAATATATAAAGAAAGAAAGAAACAAATGCAACTCCAAATGAATTGAAGACAGCATAAGACAAAAAACTATAAACCATCTAGAATAAAATTTAGGACCCATGGAGAGAGGTCTGGGGCTATGCATATCATGCATTGCTATAATCCACATTTTTTGTTACTAAGAAGTTAAAGAGCATTTATAAAATATGGTCCTCTCAGAATGTGATATTTAGTAATCTGAAACCAATTTCCAATTTTTCTCAAAGCAGAATCTTCTGCTATCAAACGGGCCTGGATTTTTTTAAATAACTGCTCAGTATTTCATATAAGTGGGACTTTTGTCTGGCCATAAAAGCTAGGATGAGCAGCACCCCCCGTTTTTTTGTTTGTTTGTTTTCCCTCGGTAGAATCCTTGACTGCTTTTTCTGCATGTAGCAAAGACCAGTAATCGACACTGGTTTATAGAGAGATGATGGTGCACATCATTTCACAGCAGCACTGCTTGACTAAATCCTACTTCAAATGTATTTGTTTTGTTTTGCTATGATTCAGTTAAGGCTCTTTGGTGTCCTCATGATACTTCCAGGTCCTGCTGGAGTTGGGATCTAGTCCAGAGGTGCTCTCTGGATCTGCAAGAGCCAGAGGCCTGGTTGACTGTTACTCCCTGGAACCACTGGAGCTAGAGAACATACAAGGTTCTTTCCCTCCCTCCTTCCTTTTCTACTTCCACCCCTCCATTCCTCTTTCTCTCCCTCCCTCCCTTTTTTTGTTTTTTTTTTTTCTGTCTTGTATTGTCTGTCTGTCTCTCTCTTCCCCTTCTTTCCTCTCTCCTAAGAAACAAATACCTTTGGCAGTATGTGTTTTTAAGAGTCATATAGTAACTTCACTCCAAATTGCTAGCTTTCCCTCTCAGCAGTAACAGTCCTTAACTTGCTGATGTGTTGATATGAGAATGTTACCGTTTACTGCCACATCCTGATAACGTGTTAGATGAAAGTGGAGCATCAAAAATGAAAATAAGCCGGCATTCAAATGATATTCAATACATTCTCCACAGACATGTGTACCAGATATTTTGCCAAGTCCAGAAATAATAAGAGACTGTGTAAGTTGGTGATAACCTAGTTTAGCCTCTGTATGAACCAGCTCAATAGACACTGATCCGAGAATGAATGAGATTGTATATGGAGGATGCAGACAAGTGCAGAAAGTCAGAAAGTCTCATCAGTCCAGATGAAAAGAGGGTTGGGGAACAGGAAAGGTGGAAAAGAGGAGTGTGTAAGGTAACGGGAGGAGGACCATGCAATTCAGCACACAAACTTCCACACAGAATGAGGCTAAGAGTGGAAGAAATGATGGTAATGCAGGAAAACTAAAGAAGGGACTTAGGAGGAACAGGATAGTAACTTATAAGGAGTGATTTTATGGTTCTCTTCTTAACAAGATAATTCTTTCCCTGCATTACATGGGCGAAAGGCTTTAAACCAAGGACGAGTTTATTATGCAAACAAACAACAAGGTACATAACATTATTGTCCTTATTTACCAGCTTGTGTCTCCTGTTACCTGAATTCCCCAAATCCTCTTCCTAATGTTTTTGAGAGAAAGAAATGTTCCACAAACCTCTATGATCACTAAATTAATAGACATCAACGAACAGCTATTTATCCAGAGGGGAATTGTTAGAAATGGTTTGACTTGGTAAAGCATAACATCTGGTTGTAGTTTTCCTTCATTGACACAATGAGAAAAAAAGGAACATGAATTAAGAATAGATGAATAGTGTTGCTCTCATCTGAAATTTGAGGTATAAATTGTCATTTATATGGAAAGAGTTCTCACATTCTGACAGCCATCCATCAGGACAGACTGTGCAAAGGTTGCAGTATTCAGCAGTGCAGACACTTAAATATTCACAGCAATAAGCGCTGTTAGCTCAGACTCATCCCAAGATCGCTTTCCTTCTGAAATGTGTTTTATAAGGCTAGTAATTTATCTGGTATTTATTAGTATTTTTGACAGTTTGTATGGTATTGAAATGAATATATTTTCTAAGTTCTTATGATTGAATGAGAGAGCAGATTCCCATGGTGATGGATTGAAGTTGCCACTGACTCTTCCTTATCTCATCCATCTGGGAGGGACTGCCTGAGAACTCTCAGGATTTCTGTCTGTTTTGAAGACAACATCGTACATGGACTTGGTGGTACTCATGACTGTGTTCATCGTAGGAGTGAAGTTCATGAATAGATTCTGAAAGTATAAACAAGACAAGACCAGAGATACCTAGAGAAACATTGTCTCTAGGAAAACAAAACAAAACAAAACAATAGTGCTAGAATAAGACAATAAACACTTGAGGAAATCCAGAACACGGGAAACAAAAGTGTTGAGAGCTTTGATTTATTCCCCATGAAAGGCATGCTCATTTTAGACTGGAGAAGCAGGCATGAGAGTAATATGAAGCATATGTATGAATCCTGTTGAAAATATATTAATAAGGTTGATGAATATGATCATTAAAGGTGATTTAGAAATATTAGTTAAATCAAAATAAAAATTTCAAAACAAACGTTAACTATTGTTAATGTATCCTGACTGCACAAAACACAATCTGCTAAAATAAGTTTTATAGTAATATTTTACCTTTGAGGAAGTTTTATTTTTGTGTAAAGAAAATATCTATCAGATAGGAACCTACCACAGAGGGCCTCTGAAAGATTCTATCCAGCAGGGTATCCAGCAGGGAATCTTATGAAAGAAGAGGGAGATAAAAGACCTGGAGGGGACAGTTGCTCCACAAGGAGAACAACAGAACCAAAAAATCTGGGCAAAGGGGTCTTTTCTGAGACTGATACTCCAACCAAGGACCATGCATGGAGATAACCTAGAACCATTGCATTGATGTAGCCCATGGCAGCTCAGTGTCCAAGTGGGTTCCCTAGTAAGGGGAACAGTGAATGTCTCTGACATGAACTCAGTGGCTGGCTCTTGATCACCTCCCACTGTGAGGGGAGCAGCCTTACCAGGCCACAGAGGAAGACAGTGCAGCCACTTGTGATGAGACCTGATAGGCTAGGGTCAGATGGAAGGGGAGAAGGACCTCACCTATCAGTGACTTAGAGAGGGGCATGGGAGGAGTTGAAGGAAGGAAGTTGGGATTGGGAGGGAATGAGGGAGGTGACTACAGCTGGGACACAAAGTGAATAAACTGTAATTAATATAAAGAAAATTAAAACTAAAAAAAAGAAAACATCTTTCACTCAATCATGAATCTATTTGGTTTTGACACCATACACTATTGGATTGACTAAGATGTACACACTTGCAACACTGATGTGAGCACTGGGGGGACCTTCTTGCCAACTCGGTGAGTTAGGAGGCTAAACAGTGCAGGTGTATAGGAGACGAGCATGGCGCAGACATGCGCAGCACAGGTGCCCAGGGCTTTGGAGCGGGCGTTCTGGGAAGAAAGCCGGA